TTTATTTTGTTAGTTTTCTATAGCTTTAGCCGTGCTAATGGTATTTAAATATTTAATGCACCGCTGTGTAAAAAATTGATCAGCCCCCCCCCCTCCGAAAAAAAAATCCTGGCTACGCCGCTGTATGAGGTATATTACTGTTTAGATACTTAAATATTAGTGTGYTTATGTTTTTACAGTGCATTTAAAGTTGGTTATAGTAATTATAAAATTGAAGAATGGCACTTGGGGTGTGGGGACCTGTTTCATTTACATAATTTTAGCACCCCCAGTGTTTGGCCTCTAGTTGCGCCTATGATTACAATAGAAGGAATTGAGGATTTTAAATAGTACGAGTATATTATCAGAAGCATTAATTATTTATTAAGTAAGTATTTAAAGTAACCTTGTGGACTTTAGAATTTTTCATTAACATGTGCATTCGAGGCAATCTAACGTTATTAAACGCCAAGTATCCATTGTTTGCTGAGTTCATTCCCATTTTACTGCCGATTTCACCAATTTTRATTCCTGAAAATGAATTTAAAAATATATCATAAATTTATAAATAAATAGTTATTAACATATTAATTATAATTATGAATAAAATTTGTTTGATCATATAAATATAAAATCAGTTCGTCAATATTACAAAAGTGGYCACATGGCGGTTAGTAAGTTATATTAGTGGGTTACTTTCATCTTTTGAATTGTACCTACAATATTTTTTTTTAAATTTGTTAATACATTTTATCACCTTAATATTATAAATCGATTGGGCTTACATATAATATCAATAATATCATACCAGGCATCGGCATCCATGTTTCAGAATCCCTTAATTGAACAACGAAAGGGTGTATCCCACGGTGTATACCTTGAGTGTAAAGTTGAGCGAGAACAATTGCGTAGTTACAACTGTGTCCAACTTAAATACATTTTAATATATTATATATGAATGATACGTAAATAATAAAAATGTTTTTAAGACATACGTCCGCCTGGCCACCATTTGTAAGATGTCAATGTCGGACTATTTAAAATAAACTCTTCGTTATCCGGATCATAAGTGCACGTCGTTTCTAACCCCCGAATAAAAGTYCCATGTCCAAGTTCAGTCTAAATTTAAAACATTCACATTCAGTTTATAGGCTTTTTAACRCAATAAAATAATTTATTATATTTAAATAAATAACATATATTTAAAAATGCTATAGGTACATAAAWAATAAATTATAGATATATTAAAATCTCTCGCGTTTATTCTAGTGACAAGTTCATGAAGTGAATTAWTTCATACGTTGAAAAGTGATCTATAAAGGTGTTACTTTTTCTTTCTGACTATATACAAGCAACAATCAAATTTTATTAGAACTCTGCGGAATTTGATGTTATAGGTACTAAAGAAACGACTAAGGTGAGAATGTAGTATTATTAGTATCATACAAATTATATAAGGTAATAAACAATGGCTA